CTCTGGGCCTGGGCACTGTCCCTCAGCTCTTCAGCTCAAGGCTAGCGCTCTACCACTTGAGCCACAGCGCCACTTCCCGCTTTTTTCTTTTTGCTTATGTGGTGCTGAGGAATCGAACCCAAGGCCTCATGCATGCAAGGCAAGCGCTCTACCACTGAGCCACCTTCCCAGCCCCCCATTTTTTTCTTTTCTCTATTTCTTTCCTTATTTTCTTCCATTTACTAGTCATTTGTTCTTTCATTTTTTTATTATCTTCAGAAACACCATTTTTCTATCATATGTTAGCACTACAAGGAACAGAGATAACAAAGATAATTGTGTGTTAGCATTGCTAATCAAAGTGATTAGCATTAGTAAAGGACATAGATAGTTTAAAAAATAATATAAAGGCTGAGTATTCACTCAGTAGTGAAGCATTTGTGAGTCCCTTAACACTGAAAGAAAAGAAAAGAAAATCCAGCCAGGTGCCAAGAGTTCACACCTATAATCCTAGCTACTACAGAAGCTGAGATCTAGTATTTCAAATCAAAGCCAGCTCAGGCAGACAAATCCAAGAGACTTTATTTTTTTGGGGGGGTCTGGTCATGGGGCTTGAACTCTGGGCCTGGGTGCTGTCCCTCAGCTCTTCACCTCAAGGCTAGCACTCTACCACTTGAGACACAGTGCCACTTCCGGCTTTTTTCTTATGTGGTGCTGAGGAATCGAACCCAGGGCCTCGAGCATGCAAGGCAAGTGCTCTACCACTGAGCCACTTTCCCAGCCCAAATCCAAGAGACTTTTATCTCCAACTTATCAGCAAAAAGCAGAGGCATTGTAGAGCACCAGCCATGAGCAGAAGAGTGGAAGGGGAGTACAAGGCCCTGAGTTTAAGTCCTGCCCCTACCCCTCCATACCAGCAATCAATCAATCAATAAATAGAAAAAAAGAAGGAAGTCCAGCTTGTCACAGTAGTTTGTGCCTTTAATCTCACCACTTGGCAAAGTGAGGATCATGAGTTTGATATAGGCCATGAGTTCCAAGCCAGCCTGGGCTACATAGCAAGATTGTCTCAATAAAATAAAGCAAGACAAAAATGAAATAAGCTTGACATACATAGTACCTTGTACCTTTAGCCTATCTGGGATTGTGGTTCTAGGCCAGCCTCAGGTAAAAAGTTCAAGAGACCCCCCATCTCAACAGAAAAGCCTGGGCATATAGCATTTTCCTGTCATGTCAGGTACATAGGTAGCATAAATAGGAGAAGCACAGTTCAGACCATTGTGGGTTAAAATGAGACCCTATCTAAAAAATGACCAAAGCAAAAATGGTTGGAGCTATGGATCAAGAGGTGGAGCACCTGCCTAGTAAGCATAAGCCTCTTAAGTTTAAAACCCCAATATATCAAAAGAAATAATAATAGTAGTATTTAACTCCCACTTCCTACATAGGAAAAGAAACTGTATCTCTCTCTTCTCCATTTCTCTCTACTTTAACTCTTTCACTAAAATAAATATTTGCTAAGACTTCAAAAAAAGACATAATAATTATTAGATATAATATAAAGAGCTAAGGAAATATAGTGCATATTTGGCTTTATCCAGAGGAACCTTCAGAATCATGTATTATAAGCAGCAAAAGAGAATATGGGAATGTATTTCATTAATAGTAAAGTCCCCTGTAATGTAAGGTATGTTGACAGTGTCCTAGAACAAATGAGTAAACAAGGTATTAGCTGTGTTCACTAGTGTGGAGGTAGGCAGAGGGCACGGCACATTCACATTCCTTTGAGCTGTAGCAGCCTAAGGAAGTCATATTTGTTCCTTACCAAGGTAATTGTGAAGAACCTATCCTCAGGGACCCGAGTGGTGCTCAAGTCACACTATGGCTATGAGGTAGAAGAGGTGAAGATCTTGGGAAAGGAACGTTATTTGGTGGCTCATACATCAGATACACTGTTGCTGGGAGACCTGAACACCAACCGCCTTAGTGAGGTAAGAACCAAGAATAGAAAGGTGGGGAATGAGGCATCTTGGCTTGCTACTAGTGGGGACCCAAAATGCCTAGGCATAAAACCTTCACAGGAAGCCCTAACATTCAAGGGTTGCTTTCAAGAATGAGAGGTTTAGAATCCTGGGGTGTGAAACTCCATAGTTGGACTCTTTTTATGTCATCTCCCAGAAACATAAGGATCAAGGCAAAAATCTGACAGTGTCTTTTTGATGCACTATAAAATTGATCTTCCTGACTTCCTATTGACATTCTCTTAGCCTTTTCTTAGATAATTATTCCTTTTCCTATGGTTTTCCCTCCTCTCTGTACAGATAGCCTGGCAAGGATCTGGTGGCAATGAGAAGTATTTCTTTGAAAATGAGAATGTGAGTACAACTTGAGTCATGGTCACCATTTTGATGAGCCCCTTTCCTGCTTCTGTAACAGAAGGAAGGCAAAGCCAGGCACTGGTGGCTCACACCTGTCATCCTAGCTACTCAGAGGCTGAAATCTGAGGATCACGATTCAAAGCCAGCCCTGGCAGGAAAGTTTGTGAGACTCTTATCTCCAATTAACTACCAGAAAACTAGAAGTGGTGTTGTTCAAAGTGGTAGAGTGCTAGCCTTAAGCACAAAAGCTCAGGGACAGTGCCCAGGCCCTGTGTTCAAACCCTTTGACTGACAAAAACAACAACAACAAAAGGAAGGCAAATGGCAAGGGATGGGAAGATAGCAGATGAAGAAAGGGGAACGTGGGGCAGACGGAGAACAGAATAAGAAGAAAAGTGAGAGTCACCTTGAGCTATAGCACCCCTCCCCGCACTGTTCTCCTTGCCTTCTTCCCCATTCTTCCCTAGGTGTGCATGATCTTCAATGCTGGAGAGCTGACTCTGGTGGAATACGGGAGTAATGACACGTTGGGTTCTGTGCGCACTGAGTTCATGAACCCTCACCTCATCAGGTAACTTCACAAGGTTCTCTGAATCTTGAAAAATACAAAAAAAAAATCCTTTGGGGTTTCTAAATCTGGTGTCCCCAGGTTAATCTAAAAATTTCACCCCATATCATAGTACAAAGCCCTCAATAGCAACTTTAGTTCATTTTGCCTTACTTACCTCAGCCTTTGTGTTTCAGTGTCCGTATTAATGAGAGGCGCCAGCGAGGAATGGAAGATAATAAGAAATTGGCTTATCTTGTTGATATTAAGACTATTGCTGTAGGTAAGACTCTCATTATTTTTTTTAACAAAATGCATTTACATAACAGGATGTGTTCAGTGGGGAATACAAGAAAATGAGAGGCACCAGGTAAGTATATATCCCCACTCTTACAATAAATATATGAGATATTTAAGCCTATATGAGTGTGCCCATACCTCAACATCAAGGTGTAGATATATAGATGCATATTACATAGGTCTGTCCAGATAATTATGTTCACTTAAGGCTAATGAATTGTAAATAGTAGAAAAGAATTATTAGCAAATTTATGAATTTTCCTGCTTAGATTTTATAGAATCATACTCTTTAGAACTGTTTGGGTATAGTTTGCCATCAGTATCATCAATTTTATCTTTATTTAACATGATCAATTTTCCCTTCCATATTAGTTTTTTTATCATGAAATATTTCAAAGAGATAAAAATAACAGAGAATAGCTCAGTATTCTCTAAAAAGTCTAGGGACTAACTCATCCATGCGGTGTAGCAATAAGAGTGGGACTCTGCAGTCAACCATCCCATTATATATTAATATCAAGTACAGAATGGCTAATGCTCTATTTGCTACCTGTGAGATCTTTCCTAAGTTACTTAACATTTCTATCCTCCAATTTCCTCATTCACCTTAGGGTAACAGAAATAGTATCTATGATACATGACAAGAACTTAGACTAGTTCCTCGTACATAATTAGCACTTAATAAATATTAGCTCATAATAGTAATGATACTCATTTCTTTGACAGTTTGATTTTGTTATGTTTACTGTGGATTCTTTATTTCTCTTCTTGATGGCATATGAGATGTTGATTATCTGCTTTTGAAGCAATTCCATTCTCTAAGGTTTATTATTTAGAATGGAATTGCTGAATCATGAAGGAAATGTTTGTTTGCCTTCAGCGTCACTAAATATTTCCAAATTACTGTCCAAATGGGTTGTGTCAATTTGTACTACCTCAGCAGTTAAGAGTTTCCATTATTCAACATTCTTTCCAATATTTGAAATTACCTGACTTCATGATTTGGCTTACTGATGTATATGAAATGATATTTTATTCTATTGTATTTCATTTATTTATTGAACATTTGGATTTCTTCTGCAAATTGCCCATCCCTATCCATTACCCATTTTAAACTCAAGCTGTCTCTTCTTATTGATTTGAAGTTCTCTACATATGCCTTTGATAGTTGTACTTGCATTGCGGATATTTTGCCTCAGCCTGTGGCTTTTATTTTTCTTTCTTTGGCATCAATAATGTTCAAAATTACTTTTAGTGTTATCTATTTTATCACTTTAAAAATAATTTGTGATTTTTGAGGTCTTATTTAAGAAAGACTTCCTTATTCCCTCTGATACTTAACATTTTTTGCAATTTTGCTTTCCACCTGGAATTTATTTTTATATATAATGTGGGTAGGGATTTAATTATATTTTCCATATGTTTAACTTTTTATAAAGTCAATTCTTCACCCACTATTTTTTTTGTCGGTCGTGGGACTTGAACTCTGGGCCTGGGCACTGTCCCTCAGCTCTTCAGTTCAAGGCAAGCGCGCTCTACTGCTTGAGCCACAGCACCACTTCCAGTTTTCTAGTGGTTTATTGGAGATAAGAGTCTCACAGACTTTCCTGCCCGGGCTGGCTTTGAACCATGATCCTCAGATCTCAGCCTCCTGAGTAGCTAGGATTACAGGCGTGAGCCAGCAGTGCCTGGCTTCACCCACTAATTTTTAATGCCTTCTCTGTCATAATCAAGTTTCTATATTCCATACACACACACAAACACACATACACAAAAGCCTTTTTTTTTTTTGTCAGTCATGGGGCTTGAACTATGGGCCTGGGCACTGTCCCTCAGTTCTTCAGCTCAAGGTTGTTTATTGGGGATAAGAGTCTCATGGACGGGCTGGGAAGGTGGCTCAGTGGTAGAGTGCTTGCCTTGCATGCACATAAGCACCACATAAGCAGAAAAAGCCGCAAGTGGGGCTGAGGCTCAAGTGGTAGAGTGCTAGTCGACAGCTGAAGAACTGAGGGACAGTGCCCAGGCCCAGAGTTCAAGCCCCATGACCGACCAAAAAAAAAAAAAAAAGAGTCTCATGGACTTTCCTGCCCAGGCTATCTTTGAACCATGATCCTCAGATCTCAGCCTCCTTAGTAGGATTACAGGCATGAGCCACCAGTGCCTGGCTCATAAAAGCCTTTTTAAAGATAGTTTTATATTACATATCTGAGCATGGTGGCATATGTCTGTAATCCTAGCTTTTGAGGAGGCAGAGATCAGGAGAATTGCAATTTGAGGTCAGCCCAAACAAAAAGTTTCTTGAAACCCCATAAAAACCAATAAAAGCTGGCAATGGTTGCATGCACCTATCATCCCAGCTAAACAGGAAAGATAATTAGGGGAATCCCAGTCTAAGTCAACCTGGATATAACCTTGAGACCCTACTGGAAAAATAAAAGCATAAAGATCTGGAGACATGCTTCAAGTAGTAAAGCACTTGCAAGTATAGGCCCTTAGTTTTTTTTTTGTTGTTGTTTTTGTTTTTGTCGGTCATGGGGCTTGAACTCTGGGCCTGGGCGCTGTCCTTCAGCTCTTCAGCTCAAGGCGAGCACTCTACCACTTGTGCTACAGTGCCACTTCCAGTTTTCTGGTGGTTTATTGGAGATAGGAGTCTCACAGTCTTTCCTGCCGGGGCTGGCTTTGAACCGTGATCCTCAGATCTCAGCCTCCTGAGTAGCTAGGATTACAGGCATGAGCCACCAGCACCGGACACTTTGCTTGCTTTTTAATTAGAAAATTCACCTGGGTGCTGGTGACTCACACCTGTAATCCTAGACTTAGACTGAGATCCGAGGATCACAGGTCAAAGCCAACCTGGGCAGGAAAGTCTGTGAGACTCTTATCTCCAATTAACTATAAAACCAGAAGTGAAGCTGTGGCTCAAAGTGGTAGGGTGCTACCACTTTGAGCAGAAGAACTCAGGGACAGTGCTCAGGCTCTGAATTCAAGCCCCATGACCAACAATCAATCAGTCAATAAATAAATAAATACATGTTTAAATTTGTCTTATCATTTATAGCTATTAGCCAACATTTGGTCTCTCTATAATGAAGTCAAGCACCTTATATAACAAAGCCAGGCACATTGCCCATTAATGGTTTGTATCAATAAAAAGGTGCAGATGAGCTTTGATCAGGAGACTACCTGAATGCATCCAAGCCAATCTTGATAGTCTACTTTAAGTGTAACCATTTTACACATTGTCTCCCAAGATTTAAACCATATTTATCCTTCACATGGACCAACTTTATTTATTCATGCATTTATTCATGTATTTATTTAGTGCTGGTCCTGGGCTTGAACACAGGGTCTGGGGCACTGTTCCTCAGTTTTTTGGCTCAAGTCTAGTGCTCTACCCACTTGAGCCAGAGCTCACTTACAGATTTTTGGTGATTAATTGGAGAGAAAGAGTCTCATGGACTTCCCTGCCTATGCTGGCTCCAAATCATGATCCCTACAGATCTCAGCCACCTGAATATCTAGGATTACAGGCACTGTAATCCTAGCTGACACCTGATCTTCATTTTTTTTATTATTTTAAATGTGATGTACAGAGAGGTTACAGTTATGTAAGTCAGGTAAAGATCACATTTCTTGGAGGAGGCAACAATGCTTGATAAGAAATGTACTCATGGGCTGGGAAGGTGGCTCAGTGGTAGAGCACTTGCCTTGCATGCCTGAGGCCCTGGGTTCGATTCCTCAGCACCACATAAGCAAAAAGAAAAAAGCCGGAAGTGGCGCTGTGGCTCAAGTGGTAGAGCACTAGCCTTGAGCTGAAGAGCTGAGGGACAGCGCCCAGGCCCAGAGTTCAGGCCCCACGACCAGACCCAAAAAAAGAAAGAAAGAAATGTACTCATTATTTTGCCCATGTAATTGTAACTCCTCTGTATGGTGTTTCACAATTAAAAAAAAAAAAAAGATTACATTTCTTTTTGGACAATGTCACTCTGCCCCTTGCTCCTTCCCAGTTCTGGTCTTTTTTAGCCAAGGCTGGCCTTTCCTCTGTGGGCTTTCCTGCCTTAACTTCAGCCTTTCAAGTGCTAGGGTTACAGGAGTGGGCTGCCATTCAGCCCCACCTAGCTTTAGTCAGAAACTTAGAGCTGGGAATGTAGCTTAAAGGTAGAGTGTTTGCCTAGCATGCATGAGGCCCTGAGTTCAATTCCTTGGTACCACATAAACAAAAAATAAGATTTCAGCTGGGTGTCAGTGACTCATGCCTGTAATCTTAGCTACTCAGGAGGCTGAGATCTGAGGATCTTAGTTCAAAGCCAGCCTGGGCTGAAAAGTCCTCATGAGATCTTATCTCCAATTAACCAGCTGAAAACTGGAAGTGGTACTGTGGCTCAAAGTAGTAGAGTGCTAGCCTTGTGCAAAAGAGCTCAGGAACAGCACCCAGGCCCTGAGTTCAAGCCCCAGGACCAACAACAACAACAAAAGAACTTGTTTTGTCTGTGGGCCTTCCCCACACCCACTGTGCAGTGCTCTTACACCATAGGCACTCAACTGTCCAGGCAACTTTTTGGAAGGAAGATGATCATCAGGTCACTTTATTTATCAGCTTTCTCTCACTAACATGCAGCAACAGGCTTATCCTTAATGTGCTAAGTGCTGCTTTTCAGAGAATTTCATGAGTAGCAAAAGGCATTTGCTCAGAACTTCTCAGCATCAGAGGCAAATGCAAGTTACAGAGAGGAATCACATTTCTTGATAGGGCTGGACTTTAGTGTACTATATGCTTAAACAAAACCACCTACAATTCTAGATAAGACCTGGTTTTCTTACACATCCTAGCTGAATTATGTATTTCCTGCCCTACTGATACACTCTGGACTGGTACAGCATTCTTTTTTTGTTTGTTTGTTTTTTGTTTTTGTCAGTCATGGGGCTTGAACTCTGGGCCTGGGCGCTGTCCCTCAGCTCTTCAGCTCAAGGCGAGCGCTCTACCACTTGAGCTACAGCGCCACTTCCGGTTTTCTGGTGGTTTATTGGAGATAGGAGTCTCACGGTCTCTCCTGCCTGGGCTGGCTTTGAACCGCGATCCTCAGATCTCAGCCTTCTGAGTAGCTAGGATTACAGGCGTGAGCCACCAGCGCCCGGCTAGGTACAGCATTCTTAAAGCCCAACAATGATGTGGGGGGAGTGGAGGAGTATGGGAGTATGGGAAGGGATGGGAAGGGGAAACAACAAGGAGGCAACAGTGCTTGATAAGAAATGTACTCGTTATCTTGCCCATGTAATTGTAACTCCTCTGTACGGTATTCTCACAATTAAAAAAAATGATTGCAAGACCAAACCTTTCTTACCCTCTCTTCTTTCTAGTGGATCTGATGGGTGGCTACAACATTGGTACCATCAGCCATGAGAGCCGTGTGGATTGGTTGGAACTTAATGAGACTGGGCACAAGCTCCTCTTCAGGGACCGGAAACTTCGTGTAAGAAGAATTTCAAGCCTTAAGCCCTGCCTAGTCCATAAAGGATGTGAGACAGCTGTTACCAGGATTAGGGATGTCAACAGGGGCATCATTTCTTGGCTCTATATGTCTTTGGCATAGCAAAAGGTACAGAAGGATCAATATTCTTTGAATCCAGTATCACAACATGTCTTCTGATGGTAACAAAGCCAGAGGAGATTTTGAAAGTTGATTTCTCTTTCACTATTAGCAAGTCTGTGTCCTCGTGCAACATCCTCGCTCTGCTGTCCTTCTCGTGTTTAGTTGACCTTTGCCCAGAGCTGTTGCTCTTCAGTGACAGTTACCTGATGGCATTGAAGCTAGCTTGAGCCCCTTTATTGATTCTCAATATGGTATTGCCAAAGAGTTTAACCTTGGAGTCAAAGAGAAGTCTAATGATTGCTCACAGTGAAAGTTTATCACAAGTCTCCCAACCATCTAATTTGTCTAGGGGCCTTACATAGTAATCCAAGTTGGTAACTCAGGTCCAAAGTTATTCTAAGAATGAAAATCTGGACTTCACTTAACTTCAGTTGCTTCAATGTGTACCTTTGCTATTTTTAGTCATCTCTTGTTTGGCCAGGGTACAAACTCACTATAAACTTCAAAGTTTGCAGGTGAATAAGCTTTGAAATTCAGCATGTCCTGACTGCTAGGAAATGGCCTCAGTCATAAGGCACCCCTACTTCCTTCTCATTGTGCTCTCTGCTTCTTTCTTCAGTTACATCTGTACGACATTGAAAACTGCTCTAAGACAATGATCCTCAACTTCTGCTCCTATGTGCAGTGGGTTCCAGGAAGTGATGTGCTGGTAGCTCAGAACCGGAACAGCCTATGTGTCTGGTACAACATTGAGGCACCTGAGAGGGTCACCATGTCCTCTATAAGGGTATGTTAACCCAGGGGACCTCAGACATAGTGTCAAGCAAACTACAGCCCTTAGGGAGCCTAAAGGTTCCTTGGTTTTCTCTGTCTACCTCCCGTATTCTCTGTAATGGAGTTGTCAAGTGAAGCTTAGACTCCTTCCCCGTGGTGGACTAGACTCCAGAATCATCTTCATTCAGATTCCTAGAATATGAGTGACCATTCTAGTGGTCCTAGTATTTCATTGAATCCTACGTAGAGTTCTCTCTATGCTGTAAGATAGGTTCTTGGTACGAGGTGAGATTCCATGCCATATTCACTGTTAGAAGCCATTCAGAATTCCCTTTTTTCTCAGAGTGCAGATGACACCCTCTGTAATGTGCTTGTTCTCTCTCTCTCTCTTTCTTTATTTTTCTCTTCCTTTGCCCGCCCTCCCTCCTGAACATCGCTGTTCCTCCCCTATTCTCTGGTCTCCATCAGAATTCTTTTTTTTTTGGGGTCCGGTCATGGAGCCTGAATTCTGGGCCTGGGCACTGTCCCTCAGCTCTTCAGCTCAAGGCTAGTGCTCTACCACTTGAGCCACAGCGCCACTTCCGGCTTTTTTCTTTTTGCTTATGTGGTGCTGAGGAATCGAACCCAGGGCCTCAGGCATGCAAGGCAAGTGCTCTACCACTGAGCCACCTTCCCAGCCTCTTGATTTTTATTTTTTGGGGGTTTGAGTGTATGCATATAATCTTTTTCTGTGTGTGTGGTAGTAGGGTTTGAACTCATTAATGGCAAGCGATTATAGTACCACTGAGCCACATCTCCAGCCTTTTTCTGAACTAGTTATTGAGCCACATCTCGAGCCTTTTTCTGAACTAGTTATTTTTAAAATAGGATTTCACTTCCTGCCCAGGCACTTACCAAGACTGTGATGTACCTATTTTAGGCTTCTCATCTTAGCTCCGTTGACAGGCATGACCATTCAACTTCTCTATGATCTTCCATTCTTTTTTTTTGGGGGGGGTGGGTCATGGGGCTGTCCCTCAGCTCTTCAGCTCAAGGTGAGTGCTCTACCACTTGAGCCATAGCACCACTGATCTTCCCTTTTTTTTGTTGTTGTTGGTTGTGGGGCCTGAACTCTGGGCCTGGGCACTGTCCCTCAGCTCTTCAGCTCAAGGCATGTGCTCTACCACTTGAAGCACAGTGCCCTCTTATGGATTTTTCTGCTTATGTGGTGCTGAGGAATCAAACCCAGGGCCTCATGCATGCAAGGCAAGCACTCTACCACTGAGCCACCTTCCCAGCCCTGATCTTCCCATTTTTAAGACTCCTGCATAGCTAAGATTACAGGTGTGAGCCATTGGTGCCCAGCTCTTTAAAATATTAAAAGCCTAAAATAGACATAATTTCCACCAGAGTTGGTTCATGTTCACTTTAGCAGGAATCAAAGTTTTGTTTCTGCTAGTCCTGGGGCTTAAACTCAGGGACTAGGCACTGCCTCTGAGCTCTTTTGCTCAAGGCTGTTGCTCTACCACTTGGAGACACAACTCTACTTCCAGTTTTCTGGTATTTAATTGAAGATAAGAGTTTCATGGACTTTCCTTCCCAGGCTAACTTTGAACTGTGATCCTCGTATCTCAACCACTTGAGTAGCTAGGATTACAGGCGTGAGCCTCTGGTGCTGGCATGAAATCAAAACATTTTAAGGATCCATATTTCTTGGTAGAGTGCTTGCCTAGTATGCATGAAGCCCTGGGTTCAATTACTTAGTATCACATAAACAGAAAAAACTCAAGTGGTAAAGTGCTGGCTTTGAGCAAAAGTTCAGGGACAGTACCTAGGACCTGAGTTCAAGCTCCAGGACTGGCCAAAAAAAAAAAAAAAATACCTAGCCTATGGTGGTACTAGAAGAAGTGGATTTACACTTTGTCAGTGTACCCCAAAGCATTGTTGCTGTCATAGTTAAGAATATACTTTAACCCTAGAACATTGCCACAGATGAGTTTTTTTTTATCTGCTTGAGAGAAACCAAGATTCAGGGAAACAAGGCCCACTGTAATATTCTCAGTGTATGAGTGCTAGAGTCAGGTGAGGGTAAGGTCTCTTCTACACTGATTAGGTGGAAACACTAATTTGGAATTTGGGTGGGGTGGGAACTGACTTTTACAGGGTGATGTTGTTGGTCTGGAGCGGGGCGGGGGAAAGACTGAAGTGATGGTGACAGAAGGTGTGACTACAGTTGCCTATACACTGGATGAGGGCCTTATCGAGTTTGGAACAGCCATTGATGATGGCAACTATATCCGGTGAGCGGCTGCTAATAACCATTGCAGGAATGGGTGAGTCTGGGTCTGAGAGAGGTGCACGGGGGATAGGGGGGGGTGGCTTATAAAACTAACTGTATGTAATCATAGTCATGTGGGCCAGGGAAATGACTAGACAGTTGTCTGCCTCCTACCTTTCTCTTTGCCTAGCACCACTATTCCTCTGTGTCTTCCAGACCCTGCCCTCATTCCTTATGCTTTGCTTTTCTCCCTTTCCAGGGCAACAGCCTTCTTGGAAACCCTGGAAATGACCCCGGAAACAGAGGCAATGTGGAAAACCTTGAGTAAACTGGCTCTAGAGGCAAGGCAGCTACACATTGCTGAGAGGTGAGGCAGACTTGTAGAAGTGAGGTGCCAGGCAGCTAGGAAGGCTGACCTGTGAGTGGCTCTTCTGTGGGCTGTTCCTATGCAGTGTTTAGGCACTGCTTCCTTTCCACCTGCCTGAAATATGAAAGCCATGGTGCATGTATTCCAGACACCTTCCATCCTAGATCACAAGAGTCTTCTACTAATTTTGTTTCCATTTCTTGCAACTAAGTCCTCCTTAAGAGGTTTTAACACCCACTCCCTTAATTCTATATATGGATGTGTACATTCCAGATGTGATACAAGACTTAAGTTCAAACCTTGGTTCCACTTAACCAACTTATGTTACCTCAGAGATGTTATTTGTCCATTTCAAATCTGGGTTTTGATTTTCTCTGTGTAAAATAACAATAGTAGTGTTTACTTCATGGGATGGCAAAGAAGAATGTAAGTGGTAGATAGTGAAGAACAAGTGAGAGAATCTGTACAAAGAACATAGGATTGTAAGTTCCCCCCATGTAGACTACAGAAAGTCCTAATGGCTCTGTCTTCAAAACATATCCCTCACCCTACTGTCTGCCCACTAGTGCAGACCACTTTCATCTCCCATTTGCAGTAGGGCAAAACCTTTTAATTAATTTCACTGGCACTAGTTTTGTATCCCTACAATCCATTCATCCCAAAGCAGACAAGGAAGTTTTTTAAAAAATTAGATTGTATCATGTTGTGCTCCAGATCTACCAGTGGCTCATTGCAAGTATTTGGCCTCCTCCTCATACCAGTTTTCTATATACCCATTCATCTCAGCCACACTGGCATCCTCGGGCCCTTGAGCATGACTTTTCCCTACCTTACCATGACTGGATCTTTCCTGTAGTCAGGTCTTGACTCAAACATTAGGTCCTCAGAAAAGCCTTCTCTGACTACCAACTTAAATGGGCCCCTCTGTCACAGATGACAGTATCACCATGGTTAATGTTACTTTACATTCTATCACGTTACCTTTGTTTACTTCTGTTTGTCTCTACTAGGATGAAAGTTCTCTGAGAGCAAGACCCTCTTTCTTATTCCCTTTTGGGCCTCCAGTGATAAGAACAGTGCCTGGGCCAGTAATAAATGCTCAATGTATATTTGCTGAACCAATCACTTAATGCTGTTCCTATAATAATGTCACTGTTGCTGTCATTGCCTCCATGTTATAGGTGCTTTTCTGCTTTGGGCCATGTAGCCAAAGCTCGATTCCTGCATGAGACCAATGAGATTGCAGATCAGGTGTCCAGGGAATATGCAAGTATCATCCTCTTAACTCGTTCAGTCTCCCAAGCTGAGATTTCTTTTAGTATTACTTCCATGTTTCCTAGTTTTCTACCCATTCCCAGTGTCTTCTGCTTGCCTACCCCTCCTCTTCCCACAAGTTGGAACATTTTTTACTTGCTTGTGAAACTCCAGACCTCTACACTCCATAAAAGCTTTTAGCTTCTCAAGTCTATTAGCTTTCAGTCCCTATAACCTTCTTGTCTCGGCCCAGAATAGCCAGACTTCCTTTTGCCTTGAAGGGTGGAGAAGGAACAGACTTCTATCAGGTCCGAGCACGTCTAGCCATGCTGGAGAAGAACTACAAATTGGCTGAAATGATCTTCTTGGAACAGGTAATAGAGAAAGGCAGGATAAAAGAGAGAATCTGGGAAGGAAGAAGGAAAACTCAGAGGATGAAAGAGCACTGGTCAGCTGAGCTTCTAAAAGTTGGAGGAGAATCTTGGTAAAAGTTTGGGGAGTTAGTTTCTCTCCTTCCTTAATTTCCTTATCCTGTATTAGTGTTTTTGTAGGCAAACTTCTTCCTTTGGGCTTCAGTTACTTCTTTCTTTTATTAACAGCCCCCTCTGCTCCACAGTTTCTTTTGGCAATTCCTTTTTTTTTTTTTTTTTTTTGCTGGTCGTGGGGCTTGAACTCTGGGCCTGGACACTGTCCCTCAGCTCTTCAGCTCAAGGCTAACGCCCTATCACTTGAGCCACAGAGCCATTTCCAGCTTTTTTCTGCTTATGTGGTGCTGAGGAATCGAACCCAGGGCCTCATGCATGCAAGACAAGCACTCTACCACTGAGCCACCTTCCCAGCCCTCTTGGCAATTCTTGTAAATCTGGTTCTGTGGAGTCCCAAACTTACACAGTCTGAGGAGCCTTCTTTAAGAAGAATTGCCTTGGGCCAGGCATCAGTGGCTCACACCTCTAATCCTAGCTAGTAAGGAGGCTAAGATCTGGGGATCACAGTTCAAAGCCAGCCTGGGCAGGAAAGTCTGTGAGACTCTTATCTCCAATAAACAACTAGAAAACCGGAAGTGGTGCTGTGGCTCAAGTGGTAGAGTGCTCACCTTGAGCTGAAGAGCTGAGGGACAGTGCCCATGCCCAGAGTTCAAACCCCATGACTAACAAAAAAATGAAGAAGAAGAAGAAGAAGGAAGAAGAGGAGCAGCAGCAGCCTTGGAAAAAAATTCTCTCTATATATAAGAGCCCAGAAGCTTAAGCTTTTTTTTAGATTCATGTAAACCACTTCTGGAGGTCAGTGGGAGAACATGTGCTTAACATGTGTAAGGCCCTGGGTCCAATACCTGGGCATTGCAGAAAAGGACAGAGACAGAGACAGAGAATGATTGGTCTACCTCTGTGCAGTAACTAAAGGATGAGCCTTCTTCACCATGCTGAGCAGGGCTCATTGACTTGATTCTCTGTCTTCTTTCCCTCTGTCTAGAATGCTGTAGAGGAGGCTATGGACATGTACCAGGAGCTGCACCGTTGGGATGAGTGCATTGCTGTGGCTGAAGCCAAGGTACTGCTTCTGTCTTCTCCATACTTGTCCAGAATTTAGTTTCACCAAGAGGTTTCAACTTCTTATCAAGGAATTGGAATACGTCTAGGACCTAATTGTTGAGGAATTAGGATGACGGTGACTTGGGAAGATCCACTGTTTCTGAGGGATTGGAGAGGCAGGGTTAACAAAAGGGCAAGGAGGAGGAATGTGTGTCCTGGCTCTCTCCATATGTGTCCAGGGACATCCATCCCTGGAGAAGTTACGCCGGGATTACTACCAGTGGTTGATGGACACACAGCAAGAGGAGCGTGCAGGTGAACTACAGGAGAGCCAAGGAGATGGGCTAGCAGCTATCAGCCTCTACCTTAAAGCTGGACTCCCTGCCAAAGCTGCACGGCTGGTGTTGACCCGAGAGGAATTGCTAGCCAACACAGAGCTAGTAGAGCACATTACCACAGCCCTCATTAAGGGGGAACTGTACGAAAGGGTATGGCTAACTTCCTTTTCCTAATCCTCAACTCCAGGGCTTTGTAAACCTCTCCCACCCACCTCCAGATGAGTCTTTGAGTGTATAGCCCTCCCTGTCTTCCAGAATTCCTTCTTTTTTAAGAACTGATTCTTGATTCTTTGTGTTGTAGGGGTTTCATTGTAGTAATATGTGTTAACAGGCAGGTGATCTCTTTGAGAAGATTCGAAATCCACAGCGGGCCCTTGAATGCTATTGTAAAGGCAACGCATTCATGAAAGGTACTAGCTGCCCACAGTCATTTTTTTTTCTGTTGTATACTTTTGCTCACTCAGTCCCCATACCCCCCAAACTTCTTTTTGGGTATCCATTTAGGTTGACTGGCTTTAGTTTTCCTGCAATTCTCCACTTCTCACCCATTCTCTATGCTTCATTTTCCTCTCCAATTATCCTGAGTCCCATCACTGAAATTCTGAACCAAGTGTCTTCTCTACCTGGCAGCGGTGGAGTTGGCTCGATTGGCCTTCCCAGTAGAGGTGGTGAAACTGGAGGAGGCCTGGGGGGACCATTTGGTGCAGCAGAAGCAGCTTGATGCAGCCATCAATCACTATATTGAAGCCAGGTATGGTAGCATGGAAGTATAATTGAGATTTGGGTGTGATAAGAGAGGTGGAGTCAAGAGAGGACACTTCAGCTTAATACAGGGGCAGAAAACATCTGACCTATGGCCATAGAAAGCCAAAGAAATCACTTAATATGTGATATAATAGATACTTCTTGTCTGTTGCCTGTGGTATCTCTGTGCTGATAACTTTTCATGGCTCTAAAATGATGTTATAAATGTACAAAATGCTCTTGGTAGAAAAAAAATTTCCCTAGCCCCAGGCCTCAAGAGGAGATCTCAAAATGTAGATTGGAGTGTGTTTAAGGGGTCTCTACTTCCATTCGTCTTCCTCTTTCCTCATACATATTTATCTTTCCTAACTATGCCAGGTGCTCCATTAAAGCAATTGAGGCTGCCCTGGGTGCCCGCCAATGGAAGAAGGCAATTTATATATTAGATCTACAGGACCGGAACACTGCATCTAAATACTATCCTCGTGTGGCCCAACACTATGCATCTCTGCAGGAGTATGAGGTGAGCAAGAACCTTCTCTGCAGCATGAGACAATGCAGTTCAGAATAGCAAGGAGAGAACCCAAGACAGGAAGTGGAGGAGCATCCAGAATAGCCAGCTCACCAAATTCTTTCTGAAATGGAAAGAGCAGTTTACTTCCCCAATTGCATCCAGCATGACACAGACACCCCTTCTAAATATATAAAAGTGATTGCCACCTATCTTATTGTGCCAACTCAAGTGATTCTTCATGAGTAATTCCAGCATAGCTGGAGAGAGGAATCTTCTTGCATTGCAGAAATATGAGGCCCTTTAGATTTTTACTGTATCATCTTTATTCTGCAGTACTAGGATTTGAACTCAGGACTTTGTGATTGCTAGGCAGGCACTCTACCACTTAAGCCATACCCCCACACACCTTTTTTTGCTTTGTGTTATTTTTTGGATAGGTTTTTTTTGTTTCTGTCTGGGGCTAGCTGATCCTCCTACATAGGCCTTTTACATTGCTGGGATTACTGAGCTAGTCTTTTTCCTAAACAGCAAAAGGTACAATTCACTCATACTCATCTTTACTTCTCTATTATCTCTAATATCCCAGCTGAGGTTTATTTCTTCTTCTTATTAGTTAGCTTAACTCTGTTGCCCTGACCTTTTGTGTCTTATATCAACTACAGATTGCTGAGGAGCTCTATACTAAGGGAGACCGGACCAAAGATGCTATAGACATGTACACCCAGGCTGGAAGATGGGAACAAGCCCACAAGGTAAAGCCTATCATTCTGGAAAGCATGTGGACTTGGGAGCTGGGCAATCTGAACTGGTTTTGCTCTTGTACTATCCTCCAGTTAGTGGGGACAGAAAGAGTAAGAAAATGGAATGTATTTCCCCAATTACAAGGCCTCACAGAAAATAATTCTCTGTAACTTATGGAGTTGGCCTTCTGTACACTAGTGGAGTGTCAGTACCCAATCTTCCATGATAGTTGGAAGAGCTCAAAGTTCCCAAACAGGCAGGTTTCCTCAGAAATTGGCTCTGTGTGTCTGTACAGCTGGCAATGAAGTGTATGAGACCAGAAGATGTGTCCGTGCTGTATATAACCCAGGCCCAAGAAATGGAGAAGCAGGGCAAGTACCGTGAGGCTGAAAGGTAAGTGTGGCCACACAGGTGGTTTGAAGGGAAGTGAGGCATCAGAGATAGGAGGAGGAGTGGGGTCTAAGTATTTGTGGCCTCTGCCTAGAACTAGTGACAACAGGGCTGTAGATGTAGAGGTCCCAGGTGTATCTCTAATCCCCAGGCTGTATGTGACGGTGGAAGAGCCTGATCTTGCCATCTCCATGTTCAAAAAGCACAAGTTGTATGATGATATGATCCGCCTGGTAGGGAAGCACCACCCAGATCTACTCAGCGACACACACCTTCATCTAGGCAAGGTGAGCCCTTCTCCCGGCACTACCCATCTCTCCCCCAACCAGGCTCCATCTCCCACTTCATCCAGTCTCACCTTCCTGCAGGAGCTGGAGGCTGAAGGCCGACTGCAGGAGGCTGAGTATCACTACCTTGAAGCCCAGGAATGGAAGGCAACAGTAAACATGTACCGATCCAGTGGACTCTGGGAAGAAGCCTACCGGGTAAGGAGGCTGTATATTATGAGTACATGCCTTCCTCTTTTCCACTTTCAAGTGACTAATTCACAACTGGCCATAGCATCTTTGAAAACAGAATGGTAACCAGAATCTGTTTTGTCACACCTATATACTCAAGTTTTACTTACAATTTTAAGAGTTTGTGGAGTTCCTAAAGCTAATCTTTGGTCCCTAAGCACTTCAATCTAAGTTAAAAGACCTGAAACTTCCCCTCTTCTATTGATTTAGAACAGCTATCTACTCCTCAAAGATGAGGTCAGGCATTCAGAGATGTGAGCTGTCAATGAAGGTTATTGAGTGACTGCTTTACAGGTGGCCAAGGCTCATGGAGGAGCTAATGCCCACAAACATGTGGCCTACTTGTGGGCGAAGAGTCTGGGAGGAAAGGCTGCAGTTAGGCTGCTTAACAAGCTGGGACTCCTAGAGGCTGCTGTTGACCATGCTGCTGACAACTGGTAAGGCCTAAAGCCTCTCTTCCACCAGCTGCATCCCAGCCAGAGTCTTTACATAAGGAAAGAAAACTGATCTGTAACTGAAAATATTCCTGAAAGCTGAGACAAGGATGAAGAAATAGGGTATGGGAAGATCCTTGAAAGGACACTCGTAAATCGGCAAGAATAAGTTAGTAACTCTGTTCCTATCTGTGAGGGACCCAGACAGTGTTTCAGCATTGGCTGTTTTAAGAAGGACAGAAAGGGAACAGCTTGTGAAGCTAGAGCTGCACCATGCCAGTGACTTACCACTAGGTAAGAGCAATGGGATTCTGTTAAATGCAAAGTCCATGTTTCTTAAGTAGATGTCACAAAGGCCAAGAGCAGTCACATCACTGTTTTTGGAAAGGTCATTTTCTGCTAATGTAGCTTGCGCTCTGGAGGAAGTGTAGGAGCAGCAGGAGTCCCCCTCAGGGAGAATACAGGCTTGTCCAGCCATCTCTGGGTCCACCATGACAGTGGTGTGAGCATCCTAGGACTGCATGTCTGTCTTCCTTTGCATCTCTATCACTTCCTGTTATCATTAATTTTTTTTTTTTTTGGTCATGGGGCTTGAAGTAGGGGCCTGAGTGCTGTCCCTGAGCTCTTTTGCTCAAGGCTAGCACTCTACCACTTTGAGCCACAGTGCCACTTCTGATTTTCTGGTAGTTAATTGAAGATAAAAGTGTCACAGACTTACCTGCCCGGGCTGGCTTTGAACCATGATCCTCAAATCTCAGCCTCCTGAGTAGCTAGGATTACAGGTGTGAGCCACCAGTACCCAACTGGTTTAATCATTTTTAAATCCCATTTTCTTCCTTAATCCTTGCCTTCTCTGTTTTTTCTTGCCTTCTGCAAGTATTAAGTACGCAATGCTTATCTTTCATTACAGCTCCTTTGAGTTTGCTTTTGAACTCTCTCGGCTGGCCCTCAAGCACAAAACCCCTGAGATTCATCTCAGATACGCCATGTACCTAGAGGATGAGGTATAGATGTGATTCTGACTCTCCTCTTCTGTCCTCTAGCCTCTGTGTATCTTTAAACACCCATCTCCCGGCTGGCTGCAATGCCAGCCTCCCCCTTATTATATGTTGCTACTTTTATCTCTCCCTGTAGGGTAAATTTGAAGAAGCTGAAGCTGAATTCATCAGAGCTGGTAAACCTAAGGAGGCAGTCCTCATGTGAGTTACCCCATAAATCCCTTATCCTGTCCTCTCAGTCACAGCCCCCCCACCTTTTACAATTATCTTTGCCTTCATTCAAACTTAGTACCAATAAGTCTGACACCCTGTCAGTGCCATGGCTGTCTTCCATGTTGAGACCTCAGTCCTATATTTAGTGCTGCTTTTGCCCCATCTGGGACAGGTTTGTTCACAACCAGGATTGGGAGGCAGCTCAGCGTGTGGCCGAGGCCCATGACCCTGACAGTGTTGCTGAGGTACTTATAGGGCAGGCCCGTGGAGCCTTGGAGGAAAAAGACTTTCAGAAAGCAGAAGGGCTGCTCCTCCGGGCCCAGAGACCAGGCCTGGCTCTCAATTATTATAAGGTAAGTCACTGTATTTTGGATCATGAGGGGGAAGTAACATGGAATGAAAGGCCATCTGGAGGGCCATACCAACTCCTAGTAGTGAGAAAAGTTAGGGGGGGAAAGGACAGGCAAAAGGAAGGATAAGAAAAGTACAAGGACTCAGGGATCAGTGGACCCTGTGTGACAGAGGGAAGCTTCCATGCCTCCCCTCTGCCTTCATGATCACTGAAACTCTGAGCAGGAGGCTGGACTGTGGAGTGATGCTCTGAGGATCTGCAAAGACTATATGCCTGGCCAGCTGGAGGCCCTGCAGGAAGAGTATGAACGGGAAGCTACCAAAAAAGGGGGCAGGTATGAAGCCAGAAATCCTGGCAATGCTGGCAGGGCTTGGGAGGTCTCCAATATACACAGGGTAGGCCACAGTGCCCCTTCCTGATTCTGGTCACTCTGCTCTCCACAGAGGTATGGAGGGACTCGTGGAGCAAGCTCGACAATGGGAGCAGGCTGGAGAATATAGCCGTGCAGTAGACTGCTACCTCAAAGTGCGGGACTCAGGAAGTAGCAGTCTGATGGAGAAGTGCTGGGTGAAGGTGAGGACGCCAGGCTCTTCCTAGTCCTCCTGCCCCTGGGTCCATTCACACTCGGCTTGCTTTCTCAGGCATTCATCTTTATCCTCCTGTGTCTTATTTTTAGTCAGGTAACAGATAACTTTTGTGTGCCCCCTGTTGGCTAGTGTCAGAATCTTTGAAAGGGGATGTAGCTAGGTACCAGTGGCTCACACCTGTAATCCTCACTACTCAGGATGTCAGGATCATGGTTTAAAGCCAGCCCAGGAAGGAAAGTCCACATCTCCATTTAACTACCAAAAAGCCAGAAATGGTGCTGTGGCTCAAAGTGGAAGAGCACTTGCCTTGAACACAAGAGCTCAGGGACAGTGCTCAGGCCCTGAATTTAAGCCCCAGGACCTACAAATTTTTCTTTATATAAAGGCGTGGGGGGATGTAAGATGGTAACAACCAGAAGTTAGGGGAAGCTAGAATAACAGTAAACAACTCAATTAATTAATATTGTATCTAAGTAAAGACTAAAGTGAGTTCAAAAAGGGGGAGGATCTCTTGGAACTGGAGGGGATCTGTAAGGCTCGGTGAGGGAGGAAGGAGGTCTTAGAGCTAGGACAGCTCTAAACCAATGGCCAGATGGAAGCCATGGCAAGAGCATGGGCTCCTCCTCCTCCTCAAGAGCTCCTGATAAGAAGCCAGATGAAGACAGGCCAGTATGTTTCACTCAAACAAATAGTATTAGTCAGGTAAAAAGAACTGAGAGAATATGAATGAATACCCACACATGTGTGTGTAATAACTGATTGGTTTACACAATTACAGAAGTGGCCAAGTTCCAAGATCTGCAGGGTGATTGGCACATGGGAGCCCCAAGAGAGCTGTTGGTACAGTTCCTATTTGAAGGCCACATGCTCAAGACCGAGGAAATTTCAGTGTTTCAGCTCCAGTCTGAAGACAGGAAAAAACAAATGTCCCAGTTCAAAGGCATTCAGGCAGGAAGAATTCTGTTACTTTGGGCAAAGCCAGCTTTTTTGTTCTGGTCACATCTCTGATTAGATGAAGCCTATCCATATTACTATTAGCATTGTACAGCTTTCTGTGCAATGTTAAGTTCATCTAAAAACATTGTCACAGAAATACCTGAAGTAGTATTTGAGCAAATATCTGTGTATCATGTGTCCAAGTCAAAGTGACATACAAAATTACCATCACATACATAGTTACATTTTAATATCTTTGCAAATAGAGATGCCTGTGTAATTTAAATGAAGTACCTCAGCTACAATGAAATTTGGTATTGAGAGTCTTGAAGGGGTGAGAATGACTGGCCTTCTAAATTAAATGTTGGTATGATTATATCCCTGTAAGATGTCCCTTAGGTTGCTGAAATCTCATTGAAGAAATTGGAACGGGTCTGGGAATGTGGCTTAGTGGTAGAGTGCTTGCCTAGCATGCATGAAGCCCTGTATCACAGAAAATGCTGGAAGTGGCACTGTGACTCTCAAGTGGTAGAGTGCTAGACTTGAGGAAAACAGCTCAGTGACAGTGCCTAGGCCCTGAAAAAATCAAGAGCTCAAGTCTAGCCTGGGCTACATAGTGAATTTGAGGACAAGCTGGGTGCTGATGGCTCATGCCTTAGTCCTAGTTACTCAGGAAGCTGAGATTGAGGATTGTGGTTCAAAGACAGCCCAGGCAGGAAAGTCCATGAGACTCATCTCCAAGTTAGCACCAGAAAGCTGTAAGTCACACTCTGGCTCCAGTGTAGAGCACTAGCCTTGAGCAAAAAGAGCCAAGGGACAGATCCTAGGCCCTGAGTTCAAGCCCCACAACCAAAAACAACAAAAAATAATTTCAAAAGTGAGAATTTAATTTTTTATTTAACCTAATATATCTAAAATATTCTTTCAACCTATATTCATTAAGCTTAACATTGAGGTATTTGTCATTCGTGTGTGTGTGTGTGTGTGTGTGTGTGTGTGTGTGATTCGTGTGTGTGTGTGTGATTCGTGTGTGTGTGTGTGTGTGTGTGATTCGTGTGTGTGTGTGTGTGTGTGTGTGTAAAGAAATTGAAATTTAGTCCAGAATTCCCTGGACTCCTCTTTCTGTGTACTATGATACCAAGATTTTATTTTTTGTTTTGTTTTTTGTCAGTCGTGGGGCTTGAACGTTGGGCCTGGGTGCTGTTCCTCAGCTCTTCAGCTCAAGCTGAATGTTCTACCACTTGAACCACAGCACCACTTCTGGTTTCTGGTGGTTAATTGGAGATAAGAGTCTCATGGACTTTCCTGCCCAGGCTGGCTTTTGAACCATGATCCTCAGAGCTCAGTCTCCTAATTAGCTAGGATTACAGGTGTGAGCCACTGGCACCCAGCTTAAGATTTTATTTGTTACAAAGAACTTGAGAAACCAGTTTGTCAGAGATGGCTGAACCAAATGCAGTGACATTAGACAGCAAAGAAAGTGTCTTAAAGCGTCACAGTGAGCTGAGGAGGACAGAGAGGCCCACTGATAGCCAACTAAAAACTCTGATGGACCATCTACCAGGCTTAGACTGGGAGGGTGGAAGGTGAAGGAGTCTGTGAGGAAACTGGCCTCTGGAAGGGTGGGGACACATGAAATGGGTCTGACTGAGGAGTTCCAGCAGTGTTTGTTTCTCCTGCCCATTCCCATCTGCTCACCAAACTACTCAGGCAGCTGAACTCTCCATCAAGTTTCTGCCTCCCCAGCGCAGTCTGGACGTTGTTCGAGCTGTAGGACCCCAGCTCATTGGAATTGGAAAGCACAATGTAGTAAGTAAGGTGCTGGGAAAAGAAAGGATCCCACAGACACGGGTGGAATGGTGACATCACACTCAGATATGTAAGGGTGGGCCTTGTGGCAGGTATGACAATGTTGTGGGCAAACAGGAGAGTTTGCCAAGGGAAGACCAAGGAGTTTACATGTTGATATCTCACTATGCAGGCTGCAGAGCTTTATCTGAACCAGAACCTTGTAAAGGAAGCAATCGATGCTTTCATTGAGGGTGAGGAGTGGAACAAGGCCAAGCGAGTGGCTAAGGAGTTAGATCCCCGGTAAACTTATGACCCCTTCTCACTGGGAAATTCTCCTTTACTTCCTTTTGCAAAGACTGGGAGGATGTCTTTTTTTTTTTTTTTTTTGGTTGGTCTCGGAGTTTGAACTCGGCTTAGGCGCTGTCCCTGCGCTCTTTAGCTCAAGGTGAGCGCTCTACCGCTTGAATCACAGCGCCACTTCTGGTTTTCTAGTGGTTTATTGGAGATAAGAGTCTCATAGACTTTCCTATCAGGGCTGGCTTTGAACCATGATCCTCAGATCTCAACCTCCTGAGGAGCTGGGATTACAGGCCTGAGCCACCGGCACCTGGCTGGGAGGACATCTTTATGGGAGGGCATGGCATCCCGGGACCACGAAGTTAGAGATCTCTATATCTTCACAGGTATGAAGACTATGTTGACCAGAATTATAAGGAGTTTCTCAAGAACCAGGGCAAAGTGGACTCGGTGAGACTTGCAGAGTTAATTTGAAGCAAGGGCTATAACCAAGTAATATAGTAGAGAACTTGTGAAGCTTTGGGTCTGACTCCCAGCCCACAAATATAATAAGAGTAAAAGCTATGTGCAGGAAGAGGCACTAGCAATGGTCTCCTTCTTCCCCGAGTCACCTCTCTCCTGAGCTGTCTTTCCTTTGCTCCACAGTTGGTGGGTGTGGATGTGGTAGCTGCTTTGGACCTGTATGTGGAGCAGGGTCAGTGGGACAAGTGCATTGAAACAGCTACCAAGCAGGTACTTCTCTCTCCTTTCTACTCCCTGTCTTCAGATATGCCTCTCTTAAACCTAACCAAAGCCCAATTCCCAGCAATCCCTACTCTGTCAGAGAATGCAGTCTATGCTCTGAAATTTGTACCAGCACTGTACATATCCATTGCCTCCTCAACAAATGCCTGGACTCACTACCCTACCCTCACTGCCTAGTTTTACTGATCACAAATTCTCCCCCACTTTTCCTCCACCTCTGAAACAGAATTACAAGATTCTGCACAAGTATGTGGCTTTGTATGCGACTCATCTGATCCGGGAAGGTGGCTATGCCCAGGCACTGGCCCTCTATGTGCAGCATGGAGCCCCTGCCAATCCACAGGTACAGACCTTCTCCTTGAGGGTGAATGTTTCCACCCTCCTGCCTCTTCTAGAGCCACTATCCCTTGAAGGACTATTTTGGCAAAGGATTCTTTTTTTTTTTTTTTTTTTTGTCGGCCGTGGGGCTTGAACTCTGGGCCTGGGCGCTGTCCCTCAGCTCTTCAGCTCAAGGCGAGCGCTCTACCACTTGAGCTACAGCGCCACCTCCGGTTTTCTGGTGGTTTATTGGAGATAGGAGTCTCACGGTCTCTCCTGCCCGGGCTGGCTTTGAACCGCGATCCTCAGATCTCAGCCTCCTGAGTAGCTAGGATTACAGGCATGAGCCACCAGTGCCCCGCTTGGCAAAGGATTCTATCCTTAGAACATCATGCCCAGCATCCCACCCAGCCTTTCCAGAAATGCTGTGGCTACTTAGCCGATACACAGGGACCTAACTTTCCAGGAGAAAGTCTGCACACCTCTGAGTGCCCTTACTATTTTTTTCCAGAAAATAAACACTGCTGTCTTATTGGAAAATCATAATGCTCTGCATATTACCCCATTAACACTGCATTCACAGTTGTATATTGCCCACACTCACAAAACACCAGCTGATAATAAGAGTTCCTCATAGCCGGGCACCAGTGGCTCACACCTGTAATCCTAGCTCCTCAGGAGGCTGAGATCTGAGGATCGCAGTTCAAAGCCATCCCAGGCAGGAAAGTCCAGGAAACTCTTATCTCCAATAAACCACTCAGAAAACCAGAAGTGGCACTGTAGCTCAAGTGGTAGAGCGTTTGGCTTGAGCTGAAGAGCTGAGGCACAGCGCCTAGGCCCAGAGTTCAAGCCCCACAACCGACAAAAATAAAATAAAGTTCCTCTTCTTTCCTCCTCTTCTCTAAGATTAATTAGCACTTTGTCTCCATTACTGCCCCATCTTCTGCACACACACATATATACACACATATACACAACCTGTTTCTTTCTTCTCACTTTCTCTTCTGGTTGAGCTTCTCACTCAGATCCTCTTCTCCCTGTACCCATAGAACTTCAACATTTATAAAAGGATCTTCACTGACATGGTCAGCTCTCCTGGGACCAACAATGCCGAGGCCTACCATAGCTGGGCTGATCTTCGAGATGTTCTCTTCAACTTGGTGAGGAAGTTGAGTCAACAGCAGCTTAAAAAGACTCCTTTCCCTGTCCCAATCTCTTCTTTCATGCACATAAACATTTACCCTCAAATGTATTCGACCTTCCTCTGTTCAGGCAGCCATCAGTAACCACCCTTGAGCCCGGCTGTGTTTTCTTCTTTCTCTAGTGTGAAAACCTGGTAAAATCCAGTGAAGCCAACTCTGTAGCCCATGAAGAGTTTGAGACAATGCTGCTGATTGCTCATTACTATGCCACACGCTCTGCAGCCCAGAGCATCCATCAGCTGGTGAGACATAGTGCAGGGGAAATGAGATGCAGAGAACACCGTCATAAGTAATCAGCTTCACACCTATGAAGTTGAATGGATCCAAGTTTCAGATTCTCAAGCTTAGGCTCTTGGACCTCCATACTTCTCTTTCAGCTTCTCCTCCATCTAAATCAGTCTTTAATTCTTGTTTAGATGGATTTTTTTGGAGGGAGAGGGAGGTGTTGGAACTCAGGGCCGTGTACTTACTTGGCTTGATTAATTGGCACTCTACCACTTGAGTCACTCTTTCATCCTGGCTTTTTGTTGATCATTTTGTTTTTATGCAGTACTGGGGCTTGAATGCATGGCCTGGACATTGTCCCTTAGCTTTTTTGCTCAAGACCAGCACTCTCTCACTTGAGCCATTTCTGTATTTTTGCTGGTTAATTGGAGATAAGAGTCTCAAGGACTTTCCTGTCTGGGCTGTCTGGGCTGTGATCCTCTTGAATAGGATTACATTTGTGAACCAACATTGCCCAGCAATAGATTGGCTTCCTCGACTGTTTTCACCATCTTAAGAGCTCTGTGGCCATTCAGCTCCAGCCTCACATTCTTTTCTATTTATTTTTGGCAGTGCTGGGAACTGAACATAGGATCCTACATATACCAGGCAGGCACTTTGTCATTGAACTATATAGCCCAGCCTTGTGATATTTAAACATTTAAGTCCCATGATTTTTCTTTTTCCTTTTTTGTTGTTGTTGTTGGTCATGGGGCTTGAACTCTGGGCTTGGGCACCATCCCTGTGCTCTTCAGCTCAAGGTGAGCAACCTACTGCTTGAGCCACAGCATCACTTCCGTTTTTCTAGTGGTTAATTGGAGATAAGAGCCTCATGGATTTTTCTGCCTGGGCTGGCTTTGAACTGTGACCCTCAGATCTCAGCCTCCTCAGTAGCTAGGATTACAGGAGTAACTGGCGCCTGGCTCAATGATTTCTTATTAACCTCCTATAATGTACACATGCTTGTGACTTGAGATAATTAACTGTGTACTCATTTTATATACTTGCATAGTAAGAATTCTAGAAGTAGAAGGAACCTTAGAAATTATCTAGTTCTAGGTATATTGTGCTGATGATCAAAACTAAGATCTAGAACAGCCTAAGATCCAGAGCAGTTTAGTATTGGGTGGTTTTTTGTTTTTTGTCGGTCGTGGGGCTTGAACTCTGGGCCTGGGCATTGTCCTGAGCTTCTGTGGCTCAAGGCTAGCACTCTACCACTTGAGCCACAGCGCCACTTCCAGCTTTTTCTGTTTATGTGGTGCTGAGGAATCAAACCCAGGGCCTTACGCATGCAAGGCAAGCATTCTACCACTGAGCCACCTTCCCAGCCTTAGTATTGGTTTTCTAGTTCTGTCGCTTAGTTACAGAACCATTAGTCACTATAGTACCAGAATCATAAAGCTTTGCCTTTGATCCACAGCAAACTGTGGCTGCCAGGCTTTCTATTTCACTCTTGCGCCACACCCAACTACTACCTGCAGACAAGGCCTTCTATGAAGCAGGCACTGCTGCCAAGGTGAGCTGGGCACGGCAGGGTGGGGCTAAAGAGATAAGGGATCACAAATGGGAAGATGAAGAATCTCAAGAGCAAAGTTGAGTTTGGAGCTGATGTTAGAGGACATAAGCCTGGAATATTCTCTCTGCATCCAAGCTCAGTTTGCTCACCTGTACCTTTGCTCTGCTGTAGGCAGTTGGCTGGGAGAACATGGCCTTCATCTTCCTCAACCGCTTTTTGGATTTGACTGATGTGAGTTGGGAAGTTGGGCCCAGAAGTTGGGAGTTTGCTTGTTACAAGCCATTCCTGTCTCACTGTTGTCCATTCTGCCACAGGCAATTGAAGAAGGGACTCTGGATGCCCTTGACCACTCAGATTTTCAGGACACAGACATTCCCTTTGAGGTGCCACTCCCAGCTAAGCAGCACATACCGGTAAGGAATAAGAAGCCCTCCCCTGTGGGAGCGTGTTGAGAAGGAAGGATGGCTTTGGGCTACCATCTTTACAATGACCTCAGTCCTCACTATTCCCTCAGGAAAAACAGAGGTTGGTGATTGTGTTCCTCAGCATAAGGAGGATCATTTATATCTGAAAGCTGTATTCTAGAATGAAGGCTTAGCAATCCTGCTGCCTTCTGCTGCCCTGCTTGAAGCTGTTGCTCCCTCTATCTTTCTCAGGAGGCCCAGAGAGAAGAGGTTCGAGACTGGGTGCTCACGGTGTCAATGGACCAGCGTCTGGAGCAAGTTCTACCTCGGGATGAACGTGGGGCTTATGAGGCTTCCCTAGTGGCAGCGAGCACTGGAGTCCGGGCACTGCCCTGCCTCATTACAGGTACCAGAGCCCCACAGCACCCCACAGGTGGATAGAAGGGAAAGCAGCAGGATCCACAAACTGTTTCAGCAGCCAGTAATCCTGAAACTTGGGAGGCTAAAGCAGAGGGCTAAGTTTGAGGGCAGCCTAGACTATGCAGTGAAGCTCTGCCTCATGAAAGACAACAGGCTAGGCACCACTGACTCATGCCTGTGATCCTACTACACAGAGGATCTGATTCACAGATATTAGCCAGGCTCAGGCACGAAAGCCCAAGAGACTCTTATCTGTAATTAACCAAAAGCTAGAGCTGGAGCTGTGGATCAAGCTAGCCTTGAGCTAAAGAGCTGAGGGCCAGCGCCAGCCAGGCTAAGTTCAAGCCTTAGGTCTGGCAAAACAAAAAGCAAACAACAAAAAACACTTTATTTTACTTTAATAACAAGTGAACAAGACAGAATCATCTCACTCTACTCTGCCTGCTCTTCACTTCCCTCCTCAGTTTCTTCCAAATTCTAATTTACCTTTTTTCTTTTCTTTTTCCACAGGTTACCCCATCCTGAGGAATAAAATTGAATTTAAGCGGCCAGGGAAGGCTGCTAACAAGGACAACTGGAATAAGTTTCTCATGGCCATCAAGGTTAGAGACAGTGACTTGATGAGGGCAGAGCGCACAGCTCTGGGGGGGAGGGGTATGAGCGGAGTCTCACTAGAATGTCGGGAGAGATGGTCCAGAAGGCAGATGCAGATGCTAACCTGCTCCCCCTGCACCAAAATGGAGCTGGTGCCTCCACACCAACTTTAATGAGTTCCTCTCCTGTTTCTCCCCTTTGTTCACAGACCTCCCACAGCCCAGTATGCCAGGATGTGCTGAAATTCATCAGTCAGTGGTGTGGAGGGCTCCCCAGCACTAGCTTTTCCTTTCAGTGAGGAAGAGTCTGGGCCTCTTTCATTAAAAGTAATTGAGTAAGTAATTGAGACCACTATATTCTTTGATCATGGTCTTTTGATCACTGTGTGTTGGAAACAGCAACATACCCTTTCCTTCAAAGAAATCATAACCGAGTAGAAGAAAAGATAAGTTTTTTTATTACAGTTATTTATATCATCCTGGGCTGCTCAAGAGCTCCTTGTTTAGTGGGAAATACATGTGGACTGGGCCTCAGATTGGCACCTGCCTGATAAAGGAAGAACCAACCAGGTCAGAGGGCAAAGCAGCATAGCAAAGACTTAGCTGCATTGCAAGAACACTTCCCCATGCCCCATCCTCAGGGCCCTTTACCTGTCCTACACCCAGGTTTTCTCTGATGCCTGGAGTTCTTGATATTGATCCAAGAGTTGCACATTTTCCTGCCTTTTACATTTAGGAGATTCAAGTTCTGTCAGTTCCTCCAGCTGCAGAAAAAGGTGCAGTCAGTTCCCTGATGTCCAATGACGTATCAGCTCCTTTTTAGCAGTCTGTGGGATGAACCCTTCCTGTTTCTCTTCCTTACCTGTTCCTGAAACCCTTCCTTCCTGCAGGGCCCAACTCCACGAAGGGTGAGTGCAGCCACACAGCAGTAACCAGACAGAGCAGCCTCGGCTGCAGACATGAACAGAGAAGGGATCCAGAGAGCCAAGGCTGTATCCTAAAAGTAAAGGGAAGGATTGGGCTAGGAGGGAATAGGGCAACACTTGCAAACGGAGGAAGTTAAAAGAGCAGGGTCACAGTTTTGTGGGCAGCCAGAAGGAATATGCTCACATAGATTCTTGTGGGGTCAAAGAAGCAGTTGGTGTGCCCAGATCCCTGATCCAGCGGTATGGAAGGATCCAGCAGTCCTGGATGGCAGTCAGCAATAAGACGGCGGCCACCATTGGCCACAGTGAGTGACACAGCTAGGAGGAGGCCCATGGAGCAGGCAGCCGACAGGAGGAGGTTCACCAAAGCCAGTACCAACAGGGCCCAGTGCTGGCAGGGCAGAGGACCAGGGTGAATGAGCAGCCTGGGCCTGGCTTAGTTTCGCAGTGACAAGACATCTCACGTTCTCTATTTGAAGCTCCCGCTCCCCTTGCCCCTCTCACCAGTCCTGGGCGAAGAAGGTTCCTGGATGCCAAAAGGGCCACAAGACCAAGGGAAACGCTCTGCGGAAGACACCACACCTTTGGCCCGCTGGCTCCTGGCAGCTCCGCCCCCCAGCCAGCCCGCAGTCTCACCAGCAGCCCCGAGCCCACGGAGATGACATTGGCGGTGGTGTACTCCGGCGTGACGGCGCCGCGGGGATTGGCCACGTGCCGCAGGACTGTACCGTGCAGCACAGCTCCCAGCAGGAGGTTCACGTGGCCCACCAGGATCAGCGCGAGGCCCACGCGCATGAGCCGCCGAGGCCCTCGGGCGGCGTCTGTAACGTAGGGGGAAGGGCGGACCTGAGCCGGGGCGGCTGACCCGAGGGCGAGCGGCCGCGGAGCAGGGCCAGTTGCGGCGTTTGGCCGGGCTGAGGGGGGTCAGGGCCCTAGAGCAAAGCGGCGGAAGTTACCAAAGACGCAGAGGCGGCAGCACCTCATCCCGCGGGCCTGGCCGCGCGGCTCCTGGCTGGCACCGCCGGGCAGCTCTACCTGGGCCCGGCTCCGCCCCCAGCCTTGGAGCTCGGCCCCGCCCAGCCATCCGCCTGGGGCTCGCCGAGCCCGGCGCGGCGCCGCTTCCGCTACAACTACACCTACCGCCCGGCGGCCAGCCGCAGCCCGCTCCACCTGCGCCCCGCCCTCCCGCCAGCCACGCAGGGCTCCGCCCCGCGGGCCTGGGCTGGCTGCACCACCTGTGGGCACCAATGCGGAAAGGCGCAAGCACACAACCATTTTAGCAAAAAGTAGAATTTATTACAGCAGCAACTGAGGCGAATCGAATGGCCCCCCCCAGGGCCACCACTGCAGCACCACCTCTCTCCCGCCCGTCCACCCCAGCGGGATCGTAGAACAGCTCCCCAGTGCCCGCGGGCCTCCTGTGCACACAGGCTGGGCGGGAGCCGGCAGGTCAGCTACTAGCAACCAGCTACAAGGCGGCTGCTGAGAAGGCCCAGGCCCACGTCTGTGCAAAACAAGTAAACAAAGTGCAGAGGGGAGGAAGAGAGGGGAAGGGATAGGATGATGCTCAAAACCAGGGAGCCCCAGAGCCCTCCTGATTAATAAAGGAGAGAAGGGGCTTCACAGGGTAATACTGACTGGGGGGAAGGGGGGACAGGAGGGCTGCAGCACGTCCAGGGACAGCCACAGTGCAGATGGGGGCCTGGCCCGAGTGAGCTCTAAGAGGAGACGGTGACAGCGGCTGAGTTGAGAGTGCTGTTCCTGGCAAAATTGAACTTGTTCAGGGTCTCCTCAAGCAGGGAGGTCAGCCGGCTCTGGTCAGCCTGAAGAGAGAAGCTCAGTGAGATGGGGTTGAGGGAAGAGAAGGCAGGGGGCCATCCAGGCGCAGGATAGCAGGAACCCACCTCACTAATGAAACCCAGCTGCACCAGCTCGGCTGCCAACTCAGGTATGTTCTCATCTGACACAGAAACAGAAGAGAGGTAAGTTCAGAGTGAGAGAAGAGACACAGAGCCCTTCGAATCACCCCAGCCACCCATTTGAGGGGGAAGATAGTCATTACATGTGAGTCAGTGTGTTACTTGTCACTGTCCCCAATCTTGTGTCCCTAGAAGGTAAGGTTCACAGATCCTCTAAGGGAAAGGAGAGACTTACTTGGCATCAGGTCACAGCTCAAGTGCCGGTTCAGTTTGTCCTCCAGCTTTAGCAGAAGCGTCAGCTAGAAAAGAGGACAGGAAAATGAGGATACCCTTCCCCATGCTCTGAGCACCAGACAGGTGCAAGCCCTGGCCCAGAGCCTTACGTGGTGTTTGACTCCCTCCTCCACTGACTCAATGTTGCACTGCATCAGCACCACCTAGGACAGAGCAGAGAGAGTCACTAGCGTACAAACCAGTCAGTAAAAATGACCAACCCCTGGAAGTCTTTTTAGCCTATAAGGCATGGTGCCAGGTGCTAGAAATGCATTCTGTACAGTACAAAACTCCTCCTATCCCCCCTCCTATGAATGTGGACACACCCCCACACAGTCCCACCTTGCGAGTCTCCACCTCAGCTGGCTCAGGTGTTGGAGTCTTGACAGAAGGGGGCACAACAGGTGATGTCACCTCCTCCTGCTGTGGTTGCTGAGGCCGAGGCAGCCCAAAGGCTGTCAGAGGGTAGATTCCATTCCTGGAGGGAGATGAAAACAGGTCATATGGGCTTGCAAATGACTCAGGACCACTGCCCCTGCTTCCTCCCATGCCTTTCTCATCCTTCCCTCACCTGACATCTTCCAGGAATTTGTCTAATTCCAAAGCTGGTGACTGAGAGTACCTAGAAAAGAAAGATAATGGAAGGTAAGGGAACAAGCAAATGGCAGATTTATCCTTTCCCAAAGCATAAGAATTGATAAAGCCTCAAGGTGGTTAGTGAACACTTTTCCTTTTTCAGACGCTGTCAGTCAGTTACTCACAAAGTCTGAATTGGCTCTCTTCCTGGTCCTGCAGGGATTTCTGCCAGCACAGCACTGGTGTCCATGTTTTTGGTGATCTCCTCCAAAGCATTCTCTGGAATCATGTCTGGGGGACAGGATGGGATAGCATATTATAGAGTCAGAGATTAGTGTCATAAAACACAAGGAGTGACAGAGGTAGAATATCCTTTTGGAAATAAAAAAGAGAACACATTCACTAGTGATATTTAGAAGGCCCTTGGTTGGAAAAAAATCCCTAAAATGGTAAAGGAGACTCACGCTGGTGCCCCACAATGCAGTGGGCAGCAAGGAGTTTGAGTGAGGGTACTTCAAACAGTGCTGGGTGGAAGAGAAGTTCTCTGGCTGTTGGTCTTTGAGCAGGCTCAGGCTGCAGGCACTTCTGAATGAACTCCTAGAAGAGAACAATAAACTAGAGCAGATATCTAGAAACCCTACACTGTGCTCATTTCCAGCTTTCATTTCATCACTAGCACAAAGATTTATTTGTACACTAGGAACTCAGCAGTTGCTGAGGAAATATACTGGGATTTGAAAATTGGCATTTGTTATTTAACTTTAATATTTTATTTTCTAATCACAGCCTTTCTCTCTTGTTTGTTGTTCTTTCTGGTACTGTGGTTTGAACTCACAGACTCAGGCTTATTATTCAGTGTTCTACCGCCAAGCCTCCAGTCCTTTTTGAAACTGCTGATTTTCTAGGATCTTCCTTTTTGCCCAGGCCGCACCTGTGCCTATGCCTACACTACAATCCTGCTACTTTACATTTCCTACTGGGATAGCAGCTATGCACCACCAAGCATTGGTTGACAAGCACTCAGGAATGTTTTGCCCAGGGTAGCCTGGGCAATTCCTCTCCCTACTCCTTCCCCTCAGCCTCCCAAGTACCTAGGATTAGAGGAGTGAATCACCTTGTCCCACTTTTTGTTGTTGTTATTTTGTCGGTTGTGGGGCCTTAACTCTGGGCCTGGGCGCTGTCCCTCAGCTCTTCAGCTCAAGGCTAGCACTCTACCCCTTGAGCCACAGTGCTACTTCTGGCTTTTTCTGCTTATGTGGTGCTGAGGGATCGAACCCAGGTCCTCATGCATACAAGGCAAGCACTCTACCACTGAGCCACCTTCCCAGTGTGCAGGGCACTTGGAGGGTGGCAAAGACACCTGTGTGGGAGACTTGGGGGGCCTGCTGGTCTGCAATGGGGTGCTGCACGGCATCACCTCCTGGGGCCATGTCCCATGTGGCAGCCCTAACAAGCCTGGCATCTACATCAACAGTGTCAAATACACGTTCACTTTTTATCAGTATAAATTAATTGTACAATGAGGCTTCATTGTGATATTTACAACAGCATATAATAAATGTACTCTGATGAAATTTACCCCATCTATATTGCATTGCTCATTATTAACCCTTGCCCTTTTCCTTCTCTATTTTTTGTGCCAGTACTGAGGCTTACCCTCTGGCTTCCAGCTCTGGGCCTCAAATTCAGTTCTTTTACTTATGGCTTGTGCTCTACCACTTGTTATTTTGATGATGACTAATTGGAAATAAGAGTCTTGAGTATATGTCTACAAGAATAATTCATATTGTAGCAGCAGTTCATTTTTTGAGTCATATTCCATTTTATTACTGTACCATAGTTTGTCCATTCTAATGTTGATGGAAATTTGGATTGTTTCCAGTTTGTGGTCATTATGAATAAAGTTACTATAAAAAAAAAGGCTTGAGGATTTGTCTGCCCAAACTGACTTCAAACATTGATTCTCAGATCTCTGACTCCTCAACAGGTGGGATTATGAGCATGAGGCACCAGCAACTGGCCTCCTTTTCTGTTAGCCCACTCACTGTCAACCTTTCTTCAATCTTTCTTGAACTCTAGGCCTGGGCACTGACCCTGTGCTCTTCAGCTCAAGGCAAGAGCTCCACCACTTGAGCCACAGCGCCACTTCGTTTTCTGGTCTCACAGGTTTTTCTGCCAGGGCTGTCTTTGAACTGCAAATCCTCACATCTCAGCCTCCTGAGTAGCTAGGATTACAGGAGTGAGCTACCAGCACCTGGCTCTTCTTCAGTCTATGTGAAATTTAATTTTTCCTTCCCTTTAATCCACTGTGGAACCTAGTATTAAAATTTACTTTGTCCAATACAGTGACTGAATTTCCCATGCTTTCTCTAACCATTTTTCCTCCTTTTCTACTTCACATATGTCCCATGACAACCTGCTTTCTCACTTGAAAGAAAAAGGCTTGAAGATCAACAAGATTACATATATCTAATCTTACATTTGAATATCCCAATCAAATGTCTCACTCCACTCTATCCTCAAATCTTCCAATAGTTTTTCTTCTTTCTCTTCTGTTATTCATAACCCTTCCCTAATGAATTACTATTTATTTTTTGTCCAGCATAGGGCCTGAACTCTGGGCCTGGGCACTGTCCCTCAGCTCTCCAGCTCAAGGCTAGCGCTCTACCACTTGAGACAGTGCCACTTCGGGCTTTTTCTGCTTATATGGTACTGAGGAATTGAACCCAAGGCTTCACACATGCAAAGCAAGCACTCTACTACTGAGCTACCTTCCCAGCCCCATAAATTATTTTTATTTGGACCTTTCAGTCTACCCTCTTCTTATGATAGTCTACCTGCTCTAATGCTTAAATCTTTTCAATCTGAAATCATTATTTCAAGGAACCTTCTTTACTTAAAACTAATAGAGCCGGGCACCAATGGCTCACATCTATATTCCTAGCTACTCAAGAGGCTGAGATCTGAGGATCACAGTTCAAAGCTAGCCCAGACAGGAAATTCCATGAGACTTTTATCTCCAATAAACCACTAGAAAATTGGAAGTGCTGATGTGGCTCAACCATTAAGAGCGCTTGCCTTGAGCTGAAGAGCTGAGGGACAGTGCTCAGACCCAGAGTTCAAGCCCTACAACGGAGAGGGAAAAAAAAAAAAAGCTAATAGAAATACCAAATGAGCCAGGCGCCAGTGGCTCACGCCTGTAATCCCCTAGCTACTCAAGAGGCTGAGATCTGAGGATCACGGTTCAAAGCCAGCCCAGGCAGGAAAGTCTGTGAAACTCTCACCTCCAATTAACCACCAGAAAACCAGAAGTGGTGCTGTGGCTCAAGTGGTAGAGTGCTTGCCTTGAGCTAAATAGCTACATTTAGCTCAAGGACAGCACTCAGGCCCAGCTCAAGCCCCATGACCAACCAAAAAGAAAAAGAAATACCAAATGACTAATATAACTAATTTAAACTGATATGCTGCCAAGCATTGATGTCTCATTTTTGTAATCCTAGCTACTCAGAAAGCTAAAATTTGAGGATCCTAGTTCAAAGCCAGCCCAGAAACACAAATCTGAGATTCTTATCTCTAATTAACCACCAAAAATCAGAAGTAGAGGATCGAATGGTAGAGCACCAGGAATTCAAGCCTAAGTACTGGCAAAAATAAATAGATTTGCTTTAAAATGTCAAGATGGTTGTCTAAGAACATATAGCAATTGCCTGCAGTTACCATCAGTTAACCTCCATGTAGATACACTTCAATTAACATACAACTGTTAAACCGGGCACTGGTGGCTCACGCCTGTACTCCTAGCTACTCAGGAGGCTGAGATCTGAGGATCGAGGTTCAAAGCCAGCCCGGGCAGGAGAGACCGTGAGACTCCTATCTCCAATAAACCACCAGAAAACCGGAAGTGGCGCTGTAGCTCAAGTGGTAGAGCGCTCGCCTTGAGCTGAAGAGCAGAAGGACAGCGCCCAGGCCCAGAGTTCAAGCCCCACGACCGACAAAAAAACAAACAAACAAACAAAAAAAAGCATACAACTGTTAACCTCAGTATCACCCACCACTGTATCCCCCCTAGACCTGTATGTACATATACAGAAGCATGTTAGGCACCTCCAAGAGAAATTTTACAGCTTTGGCTTTTTCTCTGCTTTATGTTCTCTTTCCTTTTTTTTTGGGGGGGGGGGAAGGAGAGGGGAATCAGAATTATTTGTTTAAATTATCTTTAAGTAGCTGTACAAATGAGTTGCCATTTAACAAAGAATGTTCTCTTGGTCTTCATATACCCTGTTAAGGTTTGGTTAAAGAGGCCATATGTGCTACATGAAGGCCTGAATTTGATTCCTCAGTACCACATAAACAGAAAAAGCCAGAAGTGACGTTCATGGCTCAAGTAGCAGAATGATAGCCTTGATCAAAAGAAACTCAGGGAGCCAGGTGCTGGTGGCTCATGCCTGTAATCCTAGCTACCGGAAGTGGCACTGTGGCTCAAGTGGTACAGTGCTCGCCTTGAGCTGAAGAGCGCAGGGACAGTGCCCAAGCCCCAAGCTCAAGCCCCAGGACTGGCAAAAAAAAAAAAAAAGAAAAGAAAAAAGGAGGCAGTATATAACTGCCTAGAGCAAGCACAAGATCCTGAATTGAAACCTTAGTACCAACAGCAACAAAAAAGAAGGTAGCAGGTTGCGAAGCTGGCTCAGTGGTAGAGTGCTTGCCTCACATGCATGAGGCCCTGGGTTCTATTCCTCAGCACCACATAAGCAGAAAGAGCCAGAAGTGGCACTGTGGCTCTAATGGTAGAGAGCTAGCCTTGAGCTGAAGAGCTGAGGGACAGCGCCCAGGCCTGCGGTTCAGGCTCCACAACCAGGGGAAAAGAAAAAGAAAAAGAAGGTAGCATTTGAAAGTCAGTTAAGAAGGAGCAGTCAAGGCTGAGTGCCGGTAGCTTATGCCTGTAATCCTAGCTACTCAGGAGGATGAGATCTGAGGATCGTGGTTCAAAGCCAGCCCTGGCAGGAAAAGTCCTCAAGACTCTTATCTCCAATAAACCACTAGAAAACCAGAAGTGGCACTGTGGCTCAAGTGGTAGAGCGCTCACCTTGAGCTGAAGAGCTGAGGGACAGCGCCTAAGCACAGAGTTCAAGCCCCACAGTGGACCAAAAAAAAAAGGAGCAATCCCCAAGACCCTTACCCTCTGTAATGAGTCTTCTAGTAGCTGGATGGCACTGCTGATGGCTTCCTGTGACACATAAGATGACTCTCCATTGCCCTGAATCTCCAGCACTGCCATCTACAGGGAAAAGGAATACAAAGAAAGAAGGCCTAAGAACCTCAGCCTTCTTGCAGTCACTACCTCAAGACCAGCACTTTCCTCAGCCTCCCTCCATGTCCTCTTTCCATCTTCCAATTTTACTCCTTCCCCCATTCTCCTCACCTCCAATGCACACATGCCAAAGGAGTAGATGTCCACTGCTGTTGTCACATTGGTAACTTCTAGGGAAAACAAAGAGGGCTTGGTAAAGCAGAGGGTTGAGGATAAGGAATGCCAGACATGCCTTTAGAAAAAAACAAAGGTGTGCTAGTACAGTTGCATTGCCTACACCTCAGACTATAAGGTACAAAACTAGGGCATAAAAGATAGGACACAGAAGATGCCTTCCTTACCTCCATACTCTGGTGCAAAGAAGTGTAGATTCTTCTGCTCTTCCCGGCAAGTCTTCACATGATTGTTGATAGTGTCAGGAGCCACTGGGAGTAGGGGAGATACCCACAATCTGACCACCACCAACAAAGCATAGTCTTACTCCAGTGAGAGGCCCCCAGAGCCAAATTTCTCCTTAAGTCTCCATTCTTCCAACAATCAGAAACCATCCGAACACAGACCGCACCTGGACATCATCTCCTCCTTTCTCAGGCCTATTGTTTCTCATCTAAGACTCCTAACTTAAAAAAAAAAATCTTTGCACTACCCAAACACAGTGGGAGCTTTAGCTAGTCAAGGAACAACATGGTCAAAGGAAAAACTTGTGACTTGGTCATCTTCCCCAAGTCCTAGATACAAATAATCTCTAATCCCACAAAAAAAAATGCCAACATTTATTTCATTCATCTATGAAATTAACATAAAAACACAGGCTGCCTTTCCTAATCTGGGACAAATGGGCATCTTCAAGAACTTGGATAGAAAAGGTAAAGAAGCATTAGAAAACAACCAAGGAGTTAGCCTCCTTCTTATACAACTTTGCTAACTAAAACTCAAGAAAAGTTCAGAACTGAACCAATGCCCTTGAATTGGCTTTGTCTTTAACCCCCCAAAACTTTTCAGATCCCTGCTCTCTTACTCTTCAATGCTGCCTGCTATGGGGCTGGACAATGTACCAGGCCTAATTTGGACTCACTCTGATCATAAACAATGACAAGGCACAGAATATGGGAGCACAGTATGATTTAGGGAGCCAGCCTGATGATGAGGGGGAATATGAATCTAAAAGGTTAAGTGGCCAGCCAGGCAGAATCCACAGGAAACAAGCAGGTTATGGAGGGGCAAGCAAGTGGAGGGCTGGCAGGGCAGAAGCTAAGCAGGTATAATTAAGCCAGGACGTAGGGGAACAGGCCTTGCTCCCACGACTGCATGCACTGGGCAGCCGCAAAGGGAGCAGGAGCACAAACAGAGCCCAAGTAGGGCAGAGGAAGCTCTCACCATTAGCAAAAATCCTATGAAAGACTGTTGGGAACAGAGCAGCCCGTAAGCGGGAGGGAGGAAAACAGAGAAAAGTTGTAAGCGATGGAGCAGCCAAGCCCCAGACAAATGGTAACAATCACACAGACACAGCACACGGAAATGTACACCGCACACAGATACACAGCAAATGAAAGCACTCACAGCAGGCACATCCTGGACCTCCTCTGGGAGGATCTGACCCCAGGGATTGAAATTAGACCTCACTTCCATTTCTTGCCCTTTCCCAATCTCCTTTCAAATTATATCAGTCCCAGTTTCCCTCCAAAAAAGTACAAGATTACATACCCTACCCCCTCTCCACTAATTGGCCTCTCCCTATGAATTACCTCCAGCAAGGTCCTGTCTCTTGTTACTAGTCCATACCACAGAATTTTGCTCTGTTCTGCACCATGCCTTTCCTCTTACCCCCATGGTTCCCAAATTCCCGAGGCTCCCATGCCCAGAACCTCTCCCTCCCCTCACCAGAGCCAATCTTGATGAGTCCGTTGTGCTGGATGAAGATGGTGTCACAGGTCAGGTTCCCATGGATGATGGGAGGGTCACAGGAGTGCAGGTAGCTGTGGGGGCACTGGGCTGTTAGAGGGGCCACTGGGAAATTAAGGGCAGGGGGAACCCAAGGGTTAAGAGGAGCAAGGGCCAGGACTCCTGCTGGTCACCATAAAGATAATCCCCAAACTGTGACTCTCTATTATGCCTGATAATTTCAATAGTTGGATAAGCACTTAGAGAAAGAAGTAGGAGACAGTGTTGTTTTTGTTTGGACATTAAGAGGTGCCCTTTACAAGACCCATGGGGGGCCTAATTGTGACAGTATATGACTCAAAGAAAATGGGAGGCAGAATAGATGGGCAGAGTAGTGCCCCTGCAATCTGTTTGAACTAAATCAGGAATACACAGGAAAGAAACAAATCAGATACTACTTACCTGAGGGCAGAGAGGATTTGTGTGCACCAGCGCTTCCAAGCCTACAACAGAATTTGGTCCAAGGATTAGTAGTAACCCCTTCCCTTAACCCTCCGATAGATGCTCCCATCTATCCCTAACCAGCTTCACAATTAACAGTCTCCTTAAGCACCTCCAAAACCCAAAACTTTGTCTTCCCTCCTCCTTACCTTTTCATTCATAGTCTTGTGGTTCTTTTTCGTCTTCTTCAGAAATTGCTTCAGACTTCCAGATGACATGTATTCTGTGATAAAAATTACCTGGGGAAGTGAAGCATTTACTGTAAGGCTTTATAGTAGAAATGATTTCTTGCCTAGTGATACAGTATACATATGATTTTTTGCTTTTGGTTTTTTGGGTATTTAAAAAAATGTTTTGACAAGAAGTGGCACTGTGGCTCAAGTGGTAGAGAGCTAGCTTTGAGCTGAAGAGGTGAAGGACAGCGCCGATGCTGAGTTCAAACCCCCATGAGACAGACAGACAGACAGACAGACACAGACACAGACACACACAGACACACACACACACACACGTTTTGGTGGTACTGTGCTTTGAACATAGGGCCTTGTGTTTGCCAGATGGGCAGACACTTTTACCACTTATACTAGATGCCTGTTAAACATGTGTGGGTTTTTTTTTTTCAACTTTCTCTCCTGTTCTTAGCATCCTTTTCTTTTTTTTTTTCTTTTTTGGTTCGGTCATGGGGCCTGAACTCTGGGCTTGGGCGCTGTCCCTCAGCTCTTCAGCTCAAGGCTAGCACTCTACCCCTTGAGCCACAGTGCTACTTCTGGCTTTTTCTGCTTATGTGGTGCTGAGGGATCGAACCCAGGTCCTCATGCATACAAGGCAAGCACTCTACCACTGAGCCACCTTCCCAGTGTGCAGGGCACTTGGAGGGTGGCAAAGACACCTGTGTGGGAGACTTGGGGGGCCTGCTGGTCTGCAATGGGGTGCTGCACGGCATCACCTCCTGGGGCCATGTCCCATGTGGCAGCCCTAACAAGCCTGGCATCTACATCAACAGTGTCAAATACACGTTCACTTTTTATCAGTATAAATTAATTGTACAATGAGGCTTCATTGTGATATTTACAACAGCATATAATAAATGTACTCTGATGAAATTTACCCCATCTATATTGCATTGCTCATTATTAACCCTTGCCCTTTTCCTTCTCTATTTTTTGTGCCAGTACTGAGGCTTACCCTCTGGCTTCCAGCTCTGGGCCTCAAATTCAGTTCTTTTACTTATGGCTTGTGCTCTACCACTTGTTATTTTGATGATGACTAATTGGAAATAAGAGTCTTGAGTATATGTCTACAAGAATAATTCATATTGTAGCAGCAGTTCATTTTTTGAGTCATATTCCATTTTATTACTGTACCATAGTTTGTCCATTCTAATGTTGATGGAAATTTGGATTGTTTCCAGTTTGTGGTCATTATGAATAAAGTTACTATAAAAAAAAAGGCTTGAGGATTTGTCTGCCCAAACTGACTTCAAACATTGATTCTCAGATCTCTGACTCCTCAACAGGTGGGATTATGAGCATGAGGCACCAGCAACTGGCCTCCTTTTCTGTTAGCCCACTCACTGTCAACCTTTCTTCAATCTTTCTTGAACTCTAGGCCTGGGCACTGACCCTGTGCTCTTCAGCTCAAGGCAAGAGCTCCACCACTTGAGCCACAGCGCCACTTCGTTTTCTGGTCTCACAGGTTTTTCTGCCAGGGCTGTCTTTGAACTGCAAATCCTCACATCTCAGCCTCCTGAGTAGCTAGGATTACAGGAGTGAGCTACCAGCACCTGGCTCTTCTTCAGTCTATGTGAAATTTAATTTTTCCTTCCCTTTAATCCACTGTGGAACCTAGTATTAAAATTTACTTTGTCCAATACAGTGACTGAATTTCCCATGCTTTCTCTAACCATTTTTCCTCCTTTTCTACTTCACATATGTCCCATGACAACCTGCTTTCTCACTTGAAAGAAAAAGGCTTGAAGATCAACAAGATTACATATATCTAATCTTACATTTGAATATCCCAATCAAATGTCTCACTCCACTCTATCCTCAAATCTTCCAATAGTTTTTCTTCTTTCTCTTCTGTTATTCATAACCCTTCCCTAATGAATTACTATTTATTTTTTGTCCAGCATAGGGCCTGAACTCTGGGCCTGGGCACTGTCCCTCAGCTCTCCAGCTCAAGGCTAGCGCTCTACCACTTGAGACAGTGCCACTTCGGGCTTTTTCTGCTTATATGGTACTGAGGAATTGAACCCAAGGCTTCACACATGCAAAGCAAGCACTCTACTACTGAGCTACCTTCCCAGCCCCATAAATTATTTTTATTTGGACCTTTCAGTCTACCCTCTTCTTATGATAGTCTACCTGCTCTAATGCTTAAATCTTTTCAATCTGAAATCATTATTTCAAGGAACCTTCTTTACTTAAAACTAATAGAGCCGGGCACCAATGGCTCACATCTATATTCCTAGCTACTCAAGAGGCTGAGATCTGAGGATCACAGTTCAAAGCTAGCCCAGACAGGAAATTCCATGAGACTTTTATCTCCAATAAACCACTAGAAAATTGGAAGTGCTGATGTGGCTCAACCATTAAGAGCGCTTGCCTTGAGCTGAAGAGCTGAGGGACAGTGCTCAGACCCAGAGTTCAAGCCCTACAACGGAGAGGGAAAAAAAAAAAAA